TTTTTTTTTTAGATGGAGTCTTACTCTGTCACTCAGGCTGGAGTACAGTGGCGCAATCTCAGCTCACTGCAACCTCTGCCTCCTGGGTTCAAGCGATTCTCCTGCCTCAGCCTCCCAAGTAGCTGGGATTACAGGTGCCCACCACCATGCCTGGCTAATTTTTATATTTTAAATAGAGATGGGGTTTCGCCATGCTGGCAAAGCTGGTCTCGAACTCCTGACCTCAGGTGATCCACCCACCTCGGCCTCCCAAAGTGCAGGGATTATAGGCATGAACCACCACATCCGGCCCACAAGTACAGTGATTTCTTAGATAGAAAAGGTAATGATGCAAGAAAGAAAATCAAAGGTAATAGAAGTCTTAAATACCACTTAGAGAAAAACATTCAGAAGGAGTCCATAAAGGCAATTAAAGATAGAAATTTTTCTTCCTGTCCAAATCTATATGCCTTGCTGCGGAATGTTAAACATTATTAAAAACAAATAAATTCAGAGTAAGATACAGCTTCAGGCAAAAAGAAAATCTGTGCAAAACATTCCCCTTCCCAAACCCCACCCAAAAGTAATCATTTAAACAGAGAGCACTTTTGCTAACAAGCTCTCAAAGAATTCAGGGACAGCTAAAAAGTGAGCACTTGAAGTAGTGAGTTTTCAATTTTAGAATTTGATCCCTCTGTCACTCTTCAAGGTTTTTGACCTTAAAGCCATGGTATAAGACCCATCTGTTCATCCAATACTTTAAAAGGCAGGGTAGAGAGAGGTTTATTAAATTTGCTTCAAGATAAGCTGAGATTGAAACTTCTTTCATCATTCAAAGTATGCTCCTCAGCCGGGTGCAATGTAATCCCAGCTCTTTGGGAAGCTAAGGCAGGCAGATTGCTTGAGCTCAGGAGTTCCAGAACAACCTAGGCAACATGGTGAAACCCCATCACTATCAAAATTACAAAAAATAGCCAGGTGTGGTCGCACACGCCTGTAATCCCAGCTTCTAGGGAGGATGAGGTGGGAGAATCACTTGAGCCCAGGAGGCAGAGGTTGCGGTGAGTCCAGATTGTGTCATTGCACTCCAGCCTGGTCGACAGAGCAAGGCTCCACTTCAAAAACAAAAAGAATAAGTAAAGTATGCTCCTGCCTGAGCACAATGGCTCACACCTATTATCCCAGTACTTTGGAAGGTTCAGCCTTCCAAAGATTGCTTGTTCCAAGATTGCTTCGGACCAGGAATTCAAGACCAGCCTGGCCAACATAGCTAGACCCTGTCTCTACAAAAAAACAAAACAAACAAAAAGAAGTTTTTCTTAAAAATTAGCCCAGTGTAGTGGCATGAGCCTGTAAAACCGATTACTTGGGAAGCTGAGATAGAAGGATGGCTTGAGCCCAGAAGTTCAAGGCTACAGTGAGCTAGGATCGTGCCACTGCACTCCAACTTAAGGTGACAGAACAAGATCCTGTCTCTAAAAATAAATTAAAAATAAATAAATAAATGTAAAAGTATGCTGCTGAAGCAACTTTGCCACAATAGATATATTTCCTAATCTCCTCAAGGAAATAAATTTTCAGAGTATTTTGTTCATATGATGTCCAGGTTAGCAGATTTATTAATCAGTGATCTTCAAAAGCGTTTACATCTGGCCTTTCCAACTCATTCCATTTTTAAATAAACAGCACATTATGAAGCACAGAGAACTATTCTGTCAAGTTGAAAAAAGGATGTAGAGCTGATGCTTCCTCTCTTTAGGCCAAAGAAAAGGACTGAACTACCTAAGAGGTCTATCTGGGTTATATAAATTTCAAAATGTACCACTGGTAAAAATAAAAAGATAAGAACACAGAAGAGAAGGAATACATAATCTGTAATTCTCATTGGTAAGAGAATGTAAAAATGTGGTAAAGTGATGGAAATTTAGATATATCTATAAAAACAATTTTTTTTGGCTGTACACTGCATCAAATTCTTCTTGACCCAAAGGTGAGTCTCCCAATGGCAAAGCAGAATGCTATGAATTTAAGAAAAATGAGAATAATTTATTCTAAAATTGTTTTGAATAATTACACAGTATAATATTTACTGTACCCACAAGAACACATAAAGTTATATCACAGAACACATTCTGTCCTCCAGAAAGCTCATCTAAAATGATACTGGCATGGAAAATAGCAAATTGCAATACAAGGCAAGGGCTACAATATATAATAAAAGTACATATGAAATGTTAGGGAAGGCATCAGAATATGTAATTACATTCCACACAAAAGAGGGTTCATGAAAATCACACTTGATCAATGCCATAAATTTTAAGTATAGTTTTCATAAGCAGTTAAACATATTCCAAACAGTAAACGCCATAAAGTCACAGAAACTTGAAAGTGCTTCAGGATCTTCATTCTATTAAATGTGAGCCTAATATGTAAGGTTTAGTCATTCATCCAAAAATATTTAATGAAGGTCCTCAGTGTACTAGAGAAAAACGTCATTCTAGGTAGACAGAATTTATACTCTAGCGGTAAAGATAAACATTAAACAATGTAACCATAAGACACTTTCTGATAGTGATATATGTTATAAAGTGTTAAAATGCATAACCTGGGCCAGGCACAATAGCTCACACCTATAATCCTAGCCCTTTGGGAGACCAAGACAGGAGGATCACTTGAGCTAAGGAGTTTGAGACCAGCCTGGGCTAACATAGTGAGACCCTGTCTCTATATTAACATTTTTAAAAACATAACATAATGGGGGTAGGGGCAGGAGAAAGATAGTTTAGATAGAATAGTCAAAAGGTCAGTGTGAATTGAGTGTAAGAAGAAAAGGAGAGTAGGAAAAGCCTTCTCTTAACAGTATCTTTTGTCCGTTTCTAGAAAATGCTATTTCTTTCCTTAGGCCTTCTTTACTGCTCTTTGCCTGCACTTTTGCATGGCTAACTCTATTTTACCACTGATTTCTTAGTACAAATGTCACTTTCTCAGAGGTGAGAAAGTAGATAATTAATATCCTGAATTTTATTCCAAGTGTACTGGGAAGACATAGGAAGATATTAAGCAAGTAGGTGATGATCTGATCTTTTTAATATTGTTTATTTACTATCATTCATTTATCTAGAAAACCACCCAAAAGGCTTATAGACTAGATTATGGGGTACACAGATAAATAGAGAGACCAGGTGGAATGTTACCGCAATAGTCCAGTAAAGAAATGATGGCAACTATCCTAGGATGACAGAGATGGAGAGAAGTGGGTAAATTCAAGATAAATTTTAGAAATAAAGTCAACTTAATACAAAAGTATCTAGATCTTCAAATTTTATAGTCAGCAACTGAAAAAAAAAAAAACAGTTGCAAAAGACTTGGGAGAAATTCCTGTATCTTCTACTTAGACTGTTCATCAGATTTTATTTTAGTATTATATATAACATAAAAGGAAAAGAACTAGAAAACAGGAGCAGTTGATACACATTTGCTAAAGCTGAAGCAACAATAAAATTAAATATGACTTTTTCCATTGGAATCAAAGGAAAGAAATAGTCCTTTGCCTCTTAAAATTAGAGTATTACATCTAATTTTAAAAATACTTTGTTAATGTTTTGAGGCATTCATTCTTGCATACTCATCATGCTCAATTTACAATAGGGGACACATTCCTGAGGTTTGTAGCTACATTGTGCCATCTGAATACTAGACTTCATTCCTGAAAATTACTGAGTTTACTGGTAAAACACCAGTAAACTCCCACCACTTCAATATTGTATGTGATTACCACTAACTTTGAAATGCAGGCATACAATGACAAAAAACAAACAAAAATTTTGCCAACTCTATCATCCTGAATTTTAAAACTATGTATAAAATGAATTTTATGTATGGAAAAGATATGTAAAGATTTAAGAAATAAATTACTATAGCCATCTGTGTTATCAACTTGTTATTATCAATAACAACTAGCCTCAATTATTGAGTGTTTATTATGAGCCAAGTACTATACATACTGTGTATTTTGTTCACATTATTTCTCAACAAGTTTGTGAGATCGGTATTATCATCACCATTTTACAGATGGGAAAAAAAGGCTTATTAGAAAGGCAAATAATTTTGTTCAGAGTTGAACTCAGGTCTGTTTGGATCCAAACTCCAAATCCATTAACCATTACTTTGTAGTGCTGCCACAGTTTTTTAAAATCAGTTTTTAATTGACATAGTTGTACATATTGTGTGGGTACTTTTGATATTTTAATACCTGTATGCATACAATGTATTACAATATGTAATAATCAGATCAGAGTAATTGAGATATCCATAACCTCAAACATTTAACTTTCCTAACCACATTTTTTATGCTACTCTAATGAGACTATTTTAAAAGATAATTATGAACTTGAATGTTGCATTTTTACAGTGACTACATCTTAAACATCTAAATGTTAAACACATGTTAAAATTAATATGCCAAAATAAATATTTTCTAAACAAAAAAAATGTAAAAGTATCAAAAAATATCACTGGCTTATAGAACCTTTCTCTTGAATGCCAAAATACAATATAAAATAAATTTTTAGAGCCCAAATTAATCTATTCATTAGTCGAGAATCTAAAAATGGCTTTTAGATCTTTAAAAAATATATATGTGAAGAAGACTATTTAGAAGAAAACATTAATTGATACATTTGCTTTTCCATTTCATATTTGCAGGTGGTAATTACTCTTCTAATAATATTTATAATTTAAAAAAAAAATGTTTTTCTACACTATAAGCTTAAAAATGCAAGTACAGTAAGAAAATCACACCAACCCAATTCACACACAAAGAAATTGTGTTGTATACGTTGAAAATTATTTGTTTCACTTTCCTCATACTGTACCTATCCATATTTCCAGACATCTAAAACTAGATCAGACATTTTTCTTAAACATCTGAACATTTCTGTTTACTACAGAAATTGTGTAACATTATAAAGCATAATCCTTGAAAAAAGATCTTTCAAACAAGCAATTAAAATAAGGCTTACCATTTTGATGCCTGTGGAAAACGTCACTGGTTTTATAGGTTTGGGTTTCTCAAGTTGCATTTCTACTTGGGTAGATCTGTCTTTATGCTGAGCCAAAAGCAGAGCAACAGGAAGATCAGAATTCTCCTGTAAGAATAGTTCAAGTTCAATGTGAAATGTAAAAAGGAACAACTAAAAAGCAACAAGACTTTTATTTTAAATTGTATCTTTTCCATAAGCATTTCATGTCAACTAAATATTCACATTATGGAGAATGCTTTACAAAAAACTATTAACATTCCATAATTAGAAAAGGCTGTTATAGACTCATAAATCAAAATAACCTGCAAACAAGTATTTTTATAAAATCCACATTAAAAGTTCCTATTTCAACTAGCAAGCCAATCACATTTATTAAAACAAAAAAAAAATAAGCTAATCAGAAAAAGAGTAGTACAAAGTACTATAACTTAGATCAGATGTTTATCTAAGACGCATTATTTTTACCAACAAATTTAGAACAGTTTAAAATTGTTTCCCGTTAGATTTCACCTGAGACCATTTGGAAATGATCCTTGTTCTGTTTTACACAATGAAACTATTGTAAGTACAACCAAAAGTATATTTATTTTCCCCTTTACTAACTTACTTTAAAAATTTAAATCTATGTTTTTTAAATTAAGTAACAAAATGATAGCTAAACATTTTAATATCTTATATTAATTCTAAATCAGGGCCACTATTTAAACAAATCCACACAGAGACACATTTTAATACCATAAGCAAATTACTAATTTTTATATGTAGACTTTTATTCATGTAAGAAGTCCTCTTACATGTTGAAAGTGCTGTGGAGCTAAGGTAAACTAAATGATATCCAGACATTTTTCTTTCTGAGTTGCCAGAAATAAGAACCCAAAAACATATGCAGAGGGATGTCAGGAGGGGAGATCTCTCTCTCTCTCTCTCTCTCTCTCTCTCTCTCTCTCTCACACACACACACACACATACACACACATACAAACACACACACACACACACACACACACAGATTGAGAACTTTCTGCATCTATAAACAAAGATGAAGGTACAAATACATTTTTATCTCCTATACCAGGATTATGTGCTAAAACAAACATATTGTTCAAAGAGGCTCCAGATGTCAAAATAATGAATACACAGAACTTAATCCTGAAGAAACTCTATTATTAACATTTCATAGTATGAAGCAACATACAACAGATTTTAATTTTCTTTCCAAATATACCTAATTAATGTTTTAGGCATGAATGTGGTTAATTAATATACTTACAGAAACTGTTTTAAGGTTACAGTATAGAAATGACTCAAACAGGCAACTTAATTTCAATAGACTTGTCCCAGAATCAAGTTGCAAATCAAGATTTTATAATAGAAGTGCTTTGCAAGAGCAATGTTACAAAGATTAAAACTTTTAACAGTAAATGGAATAACACAAATTTTATTTATGTATAAGATGCAACCTTATTAAGGAGCAAAATCATTAAGACCTGGCTTTAGCAATAATGAAGAAAAAGTTATGAAATATAGTATGAAGAGAATATACTAGAATACCTTTTGTATTCTATAGCAAAGCATTAATAATGCATGAGTAACTGTATTGCTATGATTCCTTGCAGCTATTCTAGATTTACATTAAAAATTTTATAATAAATTATAAAATTAAAGAACATTTTAATGGGCTGTGGCCAAAAATATCTTTTAAAAGCTATTATATCTTTTCACATGTAGAAACTAACAGAAGAAAAATAAATTTACTTGGCTAAAAAGTTAAAAGTATTGCTTTCCAATTTATACGCTAAACGAATTCAAGTGCTCTTCCTTAACTGGTATTTACTTTAAAAAGCAAAATTTCTTATATAAAAACAAGACAATGTATTAACTTCAAAAAAAAAAAGTTGCCAGTCAAGAGTTTAGATTGTTTTAATCCTGGCTTCACATTCAAATAAAAGAAACTGAATGTTAAAGTGTCTTGGTAAACGGCTGAAATCTAATAAAAACAAACATTCTAAGGCTCTAAAATGAGTTTTGATATTGAAGCATAGAATTTAGTTCAAACCATTTTAGCACTCAAATTTTGAAGTCTGGAAGTCTTACTAACTACTTGTTAAAAACTAGAATTAAGCAGGAGCTCCAACAACAAAAAATATTAATAGAGTAAAATAAACTATGTGAAACATGCATGCTCTGGCAAATACCTAACATGCAGATTTAGCCTTTCATGTTATTTCATTCTTTGCATTACATTTTACCTTAAAAGTTTCCCTAACCTATATTAATTGCCTGAAGGCACACTGTTTAATATTTAAAGAAATTTTAATAAGAACTGTCTGTAATACTCATTAAAAGCTTTATAATGACCATTTTTAAAAGATTATTTTAACTGACTTTAAGCAAGCCATCTGGCAAACAATATTTCTAATAAAAATCACCTACTGCGTTTGACAACAATATTAGCCCATACAAAATTTAAGACATAAACTGAGGCGAATTTTCTAACAGGAATATAAAAAGATTTAATAAGTCAGGACCCGTTTAAAAATCTTTTTCCAAACAGTTTTTAAAAATTAAATTTATAGTTAGGATTAAATAAATGGACTATTTAGCCAACATTACGGCAAATGCTAAGCCATAAACATTAAGACCATAACATTAAAATCCCGTCACATACAGTATAATGTAATGTGAATGCTTCTTAAAAGGTTAAAAAGTGACTTTTGGCACAAAGACCAAACCCCAAAATAGGAGGAAAAAAATTCTAATAAGTAGTACTTGTGTAAATTAGGTCCAGAGAATAATTCTAAGATTTAAGCTTCTAGACATATTTACAAATGCTAATGCTATTGTTTTTTAAACAAAATCTCATAATGAACATATACAGAAAAAGAAATATATTCTTTTACTTTGTAAATAACGATTCAAGAAGATAAAAAGAAATTTAATGAATTTAATAGTCATAAAGATTTAAAGTATTTTAACATTATAACAAAAACTTTATAAAGACTCAAAAAAACATAACAAAATCTTTAAAAATAAGTTTTAAAATGAAAACCAGAAATTCCAACTGTGTATTCTAAACCACTCTGTTGTAATTAATTGCACTAATGAATACAGTAAATTACTAAGAATTATTTAACTACGATGTTATATGATCTAAACCGTGAGGGAAGTATGTGCAGTAATGACTTGCAGGTGAAGAAAACAGGAAGTGGGAGAAAGAACCCACAAAAATGAATATTAACTCCAGATTATACACAATGTACAACAAAGGTAGTTTCACATCTTGCTTCATGCCTCACTGAATCAAAGGGGAGCTTCATGCCAACAGCAGCTCAATGAGGCAGCAAAACAGTACTTTTAGGACTAAAAGAATATACGGTCAGGCACGGTGGCTCACGTCTGTAATCCCAACACTCTGGGAGGCTGAGGCAGGTGAATCACGAGGTCAGGAGTTCAAGATCAGCCTGACCAAGATGGTGAAACCCCGTCTCTACTAAAAATGCAAAAAAATTAACCAGGCGCAGTGGCAGGCACCTGTAATCCCAGCTACTCGGGAGGCTGAGGCAGAGAATCGCTTGAAACCAGGAAGCAGAGGTTGCAGTGAGCCAAGATCGCGCCACTGCACTCCAGCCTGGACACAGAGTGAGAACCCATCTCAAAAAGAAAAAAAAAAAAGAATATGCAAGAATAATTGTTATGCAAAGCTGGCTAACCTCAAAATAAATCTAAAAACCTTTTTTATTAGATAGAACATAAAATGTTAAAAGTGTATTTTCTATCAAAGTTCTATATTTGGAATTCATTCAACTAATTATATAGAAGAGAAGCATTCAAGAAAGAGCATGTTACTCTTTGTATACAATAAAGGGAAGAATCTTTCAATAAAACAATTATAATTAGTAATTATATACTAATAATTAGTAACGTCAATTTACTAATTCTTCTTTAATGTTTTTAATTTCTCACAAAACATCTATAAAAATATAAAACACAACATGTCATTTCACTGTTAAAGCCATACCTGACACTTAATAGTTTCAAGAAAGAACTAATGAAGGCCAGGTGTGGTGGCTCATGCCTATAATCCCAGCTCTTTGCTAGACCAAGGCAGGCGGATCACGAGGTCGGGAGTTCAAGACCAGCCTGACAAACATGATGAAACACCATCTCTACTAAAAATACAAAATTAACCACACGTGGTGGCCTGCGCCTTAATCCCAGCTATTTGGGAGGCTGAAGCAGGAAAATCACTGGAATCCAGGTGGCAGAGGTTGCAGTGAACTGAGACCTGGCCACTGCACTCCAGCCTGGGTGACAGAGCAAGACTCCAACTCAAAAAAGAAAAAGGAAAAAAAAAAAAAAAAGAACTAATGAAAGTTGCTAGAGAAGACATCATTATTCTATGTAATATGCTGCTGTTCTCAGTTTTGGAGTCAAATTCACATTCTACTCATAGAAAATAGAGTTGCTTGGTTTTTTTTGTTGTTGTTGTTGTTGTTGTTGTTTGAGACGGAGTTTCGCTCTTGTTACCCAGGCTGGAGTGCAATGGCATGATCTCGGCTCACCGCAACCTCCGCCTCCTGGGTTCAGGCAATTCTCCTGCCTCAGCCTCCTGAGTAGCTGGGATTACAGGCACGCGCCACCATGCCCAGCTAATTTTTTGTACTTTTAGTAGAGACAGGGTTTCACCATGTTGACCAGGATGGTCTCGATCTCTTGACCTCGTGATCCACTGGCCTTAGCCTCCCAAAGTGCTGGGATTACAGTCTTGAGCCACCGTGCCCGGCCGAAAATAGTTTTATGACAGCATTTTCTATCACAGCCTCATTAATACCCTTAACCTTATTTTTCCTTTAGTTTCTCACCTCCTTATAATTTAAGTAATCTTGCTTTCTCTTTTTTTACTCCTGGTTAATTGACTTATATGCTTTTTTGCCAAAAATTACAGTAGAAAAACACACATATACATATTTCCCCATCATAGGATAAAAGTATTATCAACTAGACAAGAAAGTTAAGTGTATTAACACCATAAAAAAAATTTTTTTTAAGCCCCAGGGAAATAAATTATATGAACATAAAGGGAAAGAATGCAAAAAGATTTTCCTGGAGAAGAAGATTTTCTAGTTTGTGATGTTATCAGTATCATACAGGGTTATAAGTATCAAATAATAATAGTAACAAATCCATGAAATACTTCATAATCCTTAGTTATTATTACTGCCATTATCTAACAATATTGACTAGCTAGGAAGCTAATTGCTGGAAAACAATAATTTGCAAAAACACTGCTATTTCTTTCAAGCAAAAATAAATTTTTTCATGCAAAAATATAAAATATACTGTCACAGAGTAAAAAGAGTCAATAGAAACTTCAGCATAGAGCCAAAACAAATGAGCTCATTATTAGAAAAACAGTATTAATTAGGAGAAAAGTGCTCCAGAAACAATTTATTTTAGTCAGTTAGCTTAAAGCCATATAAGCAATCTATTAAGAATATACTGGCTCATCTCAGTTGTAATGTTACTCTCTCATCTGAAAACAAAATGGATACTAAACAAAAAGTTTCTTAAAAATATAGAAGTAAAATATTCTTGAACCTCAATTTAGTATCGTTCTTAGAAGTACATAAAGTAAGTAGTACCATGTCCATAAACAATACTCTATCTAGGAAATCACTTCAAATCCTTTATGGTAGTTGGCAGGATATAAATAAATAGGCATAAGGGTAAGGCAAATTACAATTAAAGATATTTTCATAATTCTTATCATTATACTTACACTGAGATAGAGCATCCCAAATGAATTTATATTATGCCAAATTCTAGAAAAACATATTTTTTCCCCAGTACATACTTTGTGGATTAAAGATGGCCATAACACTCCCATCAGGAGGAGAAATCTACATCCATTTCCTTTGAAACTGAGTGGGCTCTTTTACTAATAATAAATATGGTAGAATTGATCCTGTGCTAGTTTCCTACCCCAAGCCCTAAAATATTAGCATCTCTACTTCCTTATTCTTGGAATATTCTCTCTTGTAAACCTGAGCCAACATGTGAGAGGTGCAATCACACCATTACAGAAACTGATGTAGTTTCTGATGTATCCTGCCCCTTCACCAGACTCAAGGTAGGGACTTCCCCTCTATTTGGCCCACTGCACTCAACCTTTTGTGGTAGTGAGCACGTGGGTGAGTGCAGATCTAGCTGGCTGCTCCAATCGCCAACACAGGAACAAGCTTTGTGTAGGGCCTGCAGTCAGACCAGGCACAAGTAAGCAAGTGCAGGACCCAGCCAATCACTCCGAGCATGGACACAGAAGCAAACTCCATGTGGGGCCCACAGCCAGACCAGGTAGTTGACTCGAGGGGAACATGGCAGTGCCCAGGTGAGGGTGCCCACAACCCCAAGGCCCCAGGGGAGTTGTTATAGTGCTCCTTTAGTTCCACTGTCTGCAGATGGCAGTGTGTTAGCAGCTCAGTTGTCCCCTGGCCTTGTTGCCTGGGGTGGCTGCTCTCCATCAGCTAGGGCAAAGGGCCAATGTGACAGCCTTTGTGGGTACTCGTACTCGGTGGTTCCCAATCTCTTGTCCAGCGTCCAAGAAGAATGAGGTCACAGGGATGGTTAAAAGATGGTGAAGGCAATAATTTTATTGAGCAATGAAAACGGTTCTTAGCAGAGAGGGGAGCTGGAGAGGAGACAGGAAGGACAGGTTGTCTTCCCCAAAGTCAGGTTGTCTCTTCCTCTACTTACTAATAAGCCTGGGGTCTTTTAGGCACAGAATGAGGGGTACATGCTGATTGGCTTATGAGTATGCAAAAAAAGATTGAAGTGAAGACACCACTCAAAGGTGGGCATGACCGTGAAGAAAATCAATTAGGAAAGGGCAGGTATATATAAAATAGGTGAAGAGTGGGGATTTATCAGAGGAAAGCACACCAAATAGAAGGCCACGTTCTCAATCTGGTCCAAAAATTTAACTTGTATCTTAGGTTTCAGGTTTTAAACTGTCTTCGACATGAAGGTGTGGTTTCACCAGGTACCCGTCCTTATCTGCCTAGGCATTTTCTGCCTCTTATTGCTATCAAAACCACATGAAGAGGTGTCCTCAAAATATATTAGGGAAGCAGAGAAGCTCCAATGAACTACTTTAATTCCTAACCCACAGAATTGTGAGCATAAAATAAATATATTGTTCAGTGGGGGTGGACAGCAACTTCTTATTCAGCAATAAATACACAGATATCAATACATAACCAACAAAACTAAAGGTGAACCAGATTACAAACTTTGTGGAAATGCCCTTTAAATGCCATCATCCAGCCTAATAGGAAAGGTAAATCCTGAAAAATGTTTTTTACAACGACAATTAGTATTAATACATACCAGCTCATCTAAAAAAGCCTGCTTATTCTTTCTTTTTAGAATCTGCTGCAGTTGTTCTTCTTTTTGTATAAACAGTCTTCTTTGTTCATTTTCCTGTCGTTCCACTTCTAAAGCTTCTTCCAGTTCTTCTTGTTCTCGAGTCTAAAACAAAAATTTATATGTGGCATGGAATAAATGTAGGAGCCAGGAGCAATCATATAACACACTCTTATACTTTCTTTATTGACACTAGTCATTTATTATTTAATAACATAGCAATTGCATGTTGAAGGAAGTAGAATTTATTTTATTTCATGTCGACATGTTACTATTAAAGAGAACAACTATTCTGTTTTACCATATTAGCGGAATTTTGCCATACTAAGGCCACTGGGAACATGTTAAGGGAAGTTGAGGGATGATTTTAGAAAGATGACTAGAAGCAGTGAGGTGTACATAAAGATCAATTGGGTTCAAGACTGACAATAGCAGGACTAGTTAGAAGAATATTCAAATAACCCAGATAAGAAATAAGAGCCCTATGTGGTAGATTACGCCTGTAATCCCAGCACTTTGGGAGGCTGAGGTTGAGGGATCACAGGGTCAGGAGTTCGAGACCAACCTGGCCAACATGATGAAACCCTGTCTCTACTAAAGATGCAAAAGATTAGCCGGATATGGTGATGTGCACCTGTAATCCCAGCTACTTGGGAGGCTGAAGCAGGAGAACTGCTTGAACCCAGGAGGCAGAGGTTGCAGCAAGGTGAGATTGTGCCACTGCACGCCAGGCTGGGTGACAGGGCGAGACTCTGTCTCAAAAAAAAAAGAAAAGAAAAAGAAATAAGAGCCCTAAATAAAGTAACAATCTAATTAGAGTAGAAAGGAGGCTTAAAAAATGATAAAGAGTGATCATCAACAGAATATAAAGACTGACCAAATATGAGCACCTGGATGAATGCCGGCACCATTCACTGAGACAAAGAACATAATAAGAGATGAAATAGACTTTAATTAAAAAACTGTCAAAAGAGACAAGAACATTATATAATAATAAAAGTTTCAACATATAGAAAAATATAACAATTATAAACAACTAAATATGTAAAGCAAACATTGACAACTGAAGGGAGAAATAGACAGCAATATAATAACAGACTTAACTCACATTCAACACTGCATGGAACTCTCAGAAAGAAGATCAATAAGGAAACAGGAGTCTTAAACAACTTTATAGTTCTGCAGATGTCTGTTATAACAACTAACAGACAAACACAGAACATTCTGCTAAACAGCAGCAGAATGCACATTCTTCCCAAGCACACACAGAACTTTCTACAGGATAGATCACAAGTTAGGTCACAAAACAAGTCTTAACAAATTTAAGAAGACTGAAATCATACCAAGTATCTTTCCTAACCACAATGGACTAAAACCAGGAGTCAGTAGCAGAAGGAAAACTGGAAAATTCACAGAAATGCACATATGTGAAAATTAAATAATACACTCAAATAATCACTGGGTCAAAGAAGAAATCAGAAAGAAAATTTTAAAATACCTCAGGACAAACACAAACAAAAACACATAGCAAACTTAACATACACAAATAAAAACACATACCAAAACTTAAGGGATACAGAAAAAGCAGTACTAAAAGGAAAGTTTCTCGTGATAAACACCTACTTTAAAAGAGAAGAAAGATCTCAAATAACAACCTGACTTTACATCTCAATGAACTAGAAAAATAACAAACTGAGCTCAGAGTTAGCAGAACAAAGTATTAAAATAAATAACAAAGATTAGAGCAAAAATAAATGAAATAGAAAATAAAAATGAACAGAAAAAGTCAACAAAATTAAGTCTTTTGGAAAGATAAAACTGACAAACTCTTCGCAAGACTATGAAAAAGCGAGAAGACTCCGAATTAGAAATGAAAGAGGAGACATTACATCTGATGCCATAGAAATAAAAGGATCATGAGACTACTATGAACAAGTATACACCAACAATTATACAATTCAGTTAATCTAGAAGAAATAGACAAATTCCTAGAAATATACAACCTACCAAGACCAAATTATGAAGAAATAGGAAATATGAAAACAGATAGAACTAGTATGGACACTGAATCAGTAATCACACCTCCCAACAGAGAAAAGGCTATAGTGGTAAATTCCACTAAACATTTAAGGAAGAATTAACTTCGATTCTTCTCAAACTTTTCTAAAAAACTGAAGAGGTGGACACTTCCATACTTGTTTTATGAAGCCATCGTTATTACCCCAATACTAAAACCAGACAAAGATACCACAAGAAAAGAAAACTGTGAGCCAATATCCCTGATTAACAAAAATGCAAAAATCCTCAACAAAATACTTGTAAACTAAATCCAACTAAACTTTAAAAGGATCATACAACATGAACAAGTGAGAATTATCCTTGGGATGGAAAGATGATTCAACACACAAAATCAATTAATATACCACATTAACAAAATAAAGAATTAAAATCATATAATCATATCAATATACGCAGGAAAAGGCTTTAATAAAATGTAATGCTCTTTCATGATTGTGGTGGCTCATATCTGTAATCCCAACATTTGGGGTTAATGAAACATTCTTATTTTGCATGTATCTTCTGAAATACCCAGAGAAGGTTACTAGGCAAACAGAGAAACATTAATGGCATACTGATGCTCTCAGAAATAAGATACTTTTGGCCAGATGTGGTAGCTCACACCTGTAATCCCCTTTGGGAGGCAGAGGCAGGCAGATCGCCTGAGGTAAGGTGTTCAAGACCAGCCTGGCCAACATGGTGAAACTCCATCTCTAATAAAAATACAAAACTTAGCCAGGTGTGGTGGCAGGTGCCTGTAATCCCAGCTACTTGGGAAGCTGAGGTAGCAGAATTGCTTGAACCTAAGAGACAGAGGTTGCAGTGAGCCAAGATCATGCCATTGCACTCCAACCTGGGTGATAAGAGCAAGACTTCATCTTTAAAAAAAAAAAAAAAGAAAGCCAGGCTGGGTATGAATGGAATGAAAATGTAGTATTAATTCACTGAGAGTGTTACAGCAGGAAAGAAGTGCTGAAATAAAGCACTATAAGACTTTAAGGAGGAAATCTCTTCTAAATAAGAGATGAAAACATAATCTATGTGGTCCAAATCTACTTGTATTCTTCTCACTGATTATTACAAATTCCTCATAAAGTACTGCAAAGTGCTGAAATAAAACCCTCTAAGACTATAAGGAGAAAGTCTCTTCTAAATGAAGATGAAAATATAAGCTATGTGATCCAAATATACTTGTATCCTTTTCAGTGATTATTACAAAATCCTGAAAAAGTACCTCAAATGTAATTAGCTCAGCTTTCCCCTACAGCTAGAAAGCTAAACTATACTATAGAAATTATAGCTAAAGTATATAAATTAGACAATGGCTTCTTGGCATGCATACAATTCTTTTTTCTTTATAGAATACATTTCAATACATTTCATAATAATGACTCCTGAGATATTTTCAAAACAAACTTCAACATGAGATCAACTAAAACAAATCAAAAATCACACTTATATCTAGCAATATTACTATTTCAGTAAAACAAAAAAAGGTAACTGATTGAGAGACCAAAGTTAAGCTTAGTTTACAAATGTGTTCCTGTGATCTCATCATGAATTCATTTTAGTTTCTAATAAATAGTGTCTTTGTTTTATCTCCCTCTTGAGAGCTCTGTCAACATCTGTCTGGGTTTGCTCTCTCCTTTAGAGAAATTAATGTTCAAGGATAAAAATGAGCCTCCATTATTTTGTGACCATTGTCCAAATGCTCACTTACCAGAGAATTATACAGGCAAAATTAGCTTTAACAATCACCTATCTTACGGATTCATTTCCTTAAGAAAATACCCTCTAACATAATGCTGTCAAAGTGGTTTTTCCTATAGTAATATGTGACTGCCTACCTACATTACCTATACAGCATATATTCGTATTTCTGGTCTAGATTTCAGCTAAATTTTTAATAAATGTAACTGGTTTAAAGGAAGGTGCCTTTTTAAAGTATCATGTGGAAACATTTGTTTATAAGACCAAAGAAGAAGAAAATACTTAGCAACCAACCAGCTTTAATTTATTTTTCTGAATAACATCTTTGTTTTCCTTTTGATATATCTCCATTTTCTTTTTCGTATTATCCAGATCCACATTGTTGGTCAAGTTGAAAACTGTATCAGAAAAAAAACAATAAAATGAAAAATTATTTTAATATAAATCTTGAGTAGATAATAAAAAACAAATATCACAGTGACTCGTTTGTTGGGTTGTTATTCTTTATAGCTCTATTTGTGACCTTTTTAATCAGCTACCTATTTTAGAGACTAGCTCTAGTTACGGCAACCATGTTTTCCAAGCCAAATACAAGGACAGGCTGTCTGACTTGCACAAAATACCTAAATGTCAGGATCACTCCAGAAAACATAAGATATGTGCTTGCTATACTTACATTAGATCTGATTTTTATAGTCCCCTCTATTGCTTTAAAAGCATACAAAATATTGTTTACATTTTTTAAATACAAAGAGTAAGTCAGGAATATACAATAATAGCCAGAATTTTAAAAAGAAATAAAAAATCATATTTGTATAACTTATATCAAACAAAAAATAGGTTTTATTCCCATTCCAGTTGTCTCCAACATGAGTAGGAAAAGGCTTAAACTACTTCCCCTTGTAGTCTAGTTCTAGAAATGCATCAAATAAGAGTTGGAACTTTAGAAGAAAAATAAAGGATAAACTGGCACCAAAACTTAGACTAAGAGAATTTCTTAAGAGAACCATTGAAACATGTTTAGATACTACTAAATTTTCTGTAAATTAGAACTCTCTTTTTATAATTATAAATCAAAATAATTTGAATTATAAATGCCATATTCTCTTTTAATTTTACATGTGTAAATCAAAAAGATACTATAATATTCTGAACAATTTTAAAAAGACCCTCTCGCTATTTATAAACTTATATGGAAGAATCTGTATCAGTAAGACTCTCCTGTTCCATAATTCAATTCAAGCCTCCTTAGTTTCCCCTGTAATCTTTCTACATCCATTATTAGCCCTTTTCACCCCTTCTCCAATTACTCACCAACTGCTTCCTGATTCTTGTCCTACAAACAAGATGGATCTACCCTAAATAACTGCTCGATCCCTTGGGTTTCTACAGATTCCTTCCCCATCTCTCTCTTTCTTTTAACCAATAACCATCTCAAATAGTTCCTAGGTTTTTGAATTACAGAAACTTATAAGATTAGAGAAAAAAAAAAAAAGAGTTGAAAAGTAATACTGGAAGACCAACACAGAGCTGCTTGGTTTGTTGAGCAAAGCCATCAAACAGACTCAAAACACCAATTTGTTCTATAATTTCATTTTTATCTTCTCAAAAGGCCAACTTATTTCAGAACATCAATTTATCATAACCACTGTTGAATATCCAGGCTCATTTAGGTATAAAGACAAAAGTCTATTCAGTTTTATCCTATGCAATTTTTAATCTGGAAGAATTGAGAGAAAATGAGAAGCAATAACCCTATAGTTACTTTTCCAGCTTTTTAATATTAAGTGGAAAAGAAAATAAGTCAGAGAATCTGGCTAGGATACAATGTGAGACATTCTTCATAAATTGCACTCAAGTCCTGACACAAAACTGTCAGAGGGAGGCTCCAGACAAGCAGCACCCTGAAAAAGGTACCTTTGATCCTTAGTTAAAATGGTGATTCCACTATCTTTACCAACCACTCCCAATCTATTCCTTGTATTTAATAGGCCATCCTCTGAGCAACCAAATCCGATGATCTTTCACAATTCTCACCATCCTCAACATGTAACAGATCCAACCTCAGCCTCCCAAGTATCTTGGATTACAGGCGGGCACAAAAACACCTGGCTAATTTTTGTATATTTTAGTAGAGACAGGGTTTCGCCATGTTGGTCAGGCTGGTCTCGAACTCCTGAGCTCAAGTGATCGGCCCACCTCAGCCTTCCAGAGTGCTGGGATTACAGGCCTAAGCCACCATGTCCAGCCATTAACCTAGGCTATCTGATTCCAAATCTGAACTTTTACCTACAATGCCTATAAAACTAGTTGTGTTGTTTCTCTCAATGCCAGAAAACCACTGCTACCTAGCAGTCCTCTGCATTTGTATGGCCCTACACTTTGCATTTCCATACCAGTGATTAAACTGTTGACTCTACCCATAGGGCTCATCTCACTACCAACCTCAACCCAGAACAACAGTGAATATCCACATCTGACTCACCCTTCTATACCCATTTTAATCGCCAGCTCATCCTTATGAGACATTGCAGTTACAATCTCTCCATCCCTGAATGCTTACATTATCTAATATCGCTCTGCTAGCACTTACCCACTTTCTACCCTGTATAATTATTTTCAATGTGCACATCTTGTCTAACCTATTAGAATGTTCCTTAAAGGTAGTTTCTAGGTGTGATACATCTTTATTATCACTTCCACTACTTCTACTGCACTCCTAAAGGCAAAACTCTAGTCACAACATAAAATGCTAGTACAGATCTGGAGCAACAATAACTCTCATTCCTTGCTGGTGGGAATGCAAAATGGTTTAGTCACTTTGGAAGACAGTTTTCCAGTTTCACAAAACTAAACATACTCTATCACATGATCTGGCAATCAAGCTCCTAAGTATTTATCCAAATGAGTTAAAAACATATGTCCACACAAAAACCCACACATGAATGGTTACAGCAGCTTTATTAATAATTGCCAAAACTTGGAAGCAACCAAGACATCCTTCAGTAGATAAAAAAAAAATGGAATATTATTCAGCACTAAAAAGAAATCAGCTATATAGCCAAGAAAAGACACAGGGTAGCTTTAAATGCATATTGCTAAGTGAAATACATACTGTATAAATCCAACTATATAACATTCCAGAAAAGTCAAAACTATAAAAACTAAAAAAACAGTGTTTGCCAGGGGTTATGGATAGATAGGAATAAATACACAGAAAAACATAGAGGACTTTTAGGACAGTTAAAAATGACTCTGTATGATATAATGACAGATACACATCATTATATGTTTATCAAAACGCCTAGGGTGAACAGCACCAAAAAATGAATCCTAGTGTAAACTATACATTTTGTGTGATAATGATATGCCAATGTAGGTTCATTGATTGTAACAATGTACCACTATGGTGCAGGATGTTGATAGTGGGAGAGGCTGTGCACATGTAGAGGCAAGAGATATATAGGAACTCTCTGTATTTTCTACTCAGTGTTGCTGTGAATCTAAAAAACTTCACTAAAAAAAGTCTACTTTAAAAAAAAAGTTCCCATCTGGTAAGGGTACAAGAAATGCTTGTTGAATTATCATGAGAAGAAATTAACTAATACCAACATTTATAATTACTTTCATAATTATAGATTTAATTAAAATAACCTTTATAATTACAGATTTGAACATGGCAAAGGAGGAAGGTTCAAAATGACAGGACTAAATAATCTTGGTTTCTTATGGTATGAATCTACTGAAAAGTAAGTGGTCAAATTGATATCCCATGTAGAGTTCTACCAGTATGTTCAAAGCAGTTTAAAAAACACTGTTTATTACCAAACTAGACAGTTTACTACTGATTTTCACTTTCCATTAAACAGAACCCAGAAATAGGTAAACTTAAATCCTGAGTGCAATTAATCTGTTTATATACAGTTTCATTTTTTCTTTTTTTTTGAGATGGAGTCTCATTCTGTTGCCCATGGTAGAGTGCAGTGGCATGAGAGCTTGGCTCACTGTAACCTCTAGTCCCTGGTTCAAGCAATTCCCCTGCCTCAGCCTCCCGAGTAGCTGGGATTACAGATACTGGCCACAATGCCCAGCTAATTTTTGTATTTTTAGTAGAGACAGGGTTTCACCACATTGGTCAGGCTGGTCTTGAACTCCTGGCCTCAAGTGATCCGCCCACCTTGACCTCCCAAAGTGCTGGGATTACAGGCATAAGCCCAGCCACAATGTCTTTCTTTTATGCTTATTAAAAACTTTATGAGTTCTGGATCACTTGTGGCCAGGAGTTTGACACCAGCCTAGTCAACATAGTGAAGTCCCATCTCTACCAAAAAAATAAAATTAAAAACTTACCCAAGTGTGGTGGCACACACCTATAGTCCTAGTTACTTGGGAGGCTGAGACAGGAAGATCACTTGAGCCCAGGAGTTTGAGTCTACAGTGAGCTATAATGGTACCACTGCACTCCAGCCTGGGAGACAGAGTGAGACCCTATCTCTAAAAAATAAATAAATAAATAACAAAGAAAACTTTATGAATTCCAATAAAGGTAAAATAATTTGTTTCATATTCTCATTTAGAAGCAAAGGTAATAGCAACATAATAAATGAAAATCTTAACTATAGATAACACAAATATCTTCCTTTAAAAAGTAACAAAAGAACAATAAAAGTGAATTGCTATTTTTAAAAATTTTCAGATGAAGCAGGTCTCATTCATACCCAATGAATCAGGTTGGTATAACAGCCTTGAAGAAAAAGGAATAGAAGCTAATTTTCTATAACAATCATTTGACCCTTTATCTGCTTACTGATTTAGTTCAGATGTTGACCTGCCTTTAGTCAAGTATTAAAAGCTAACAAAAAGCCTATTGTATTTTCTGAAAGATTTAATGTTATTTAAGTACAATTGTGAAGTCTTTTTGACATCCAGAATTTATAATTAAAGCCCTTAGGACTTTCTCACCCTTTTAAAATAAGTATCCTCTGCACCAAAAGAATAATCTGTTCATTATGAAACTAAGAATAAACCTTTGAGATAATCCCTAGAGCCATGAGGAACAAGAATTTTATGTATAGATTGTCATAACCACAGAAAAGAGCCTGTTGTATTGCCATAAGAAAGTCCATCTTCATGTGTGCCCTTTCTATTGAAAATTTTTTTGCTATTATTCAAAACTGTAATTTTTTCCTTTTTATATTCATGTTTAAAAGATTCATACTTTATACAACAAAATTACCTCAATCCCCACTTTATGAATCCTCAAACATGACCCTCTGAGGCACCCTACTAATTCTAGTCCTCTCATTCCAGACTTAAACATTTATCTCCAACAGCAACCTTCTACCTATAAGATAGAGTTCAAACATCTTTAATATCCTTCAAAATATGGCCCCAACCC